GGGGGGGGCAGCCCCTCCAGCCCCTCCCTTCAGGGTAGGATTAAGCCAGGGCAGAGGATAAGCTCTGCTAGCTTGCAATAACTTATCCAGGCTTTTTTCTTCTGCCAAATACATTTCACTATTTTTTTCGTTTAAATCCTCCAAAAATTTCCTTCCTAGCTTGACTGCCACTGCTTGAAACAAGTATAATAATTTTGGTAAAACATTTGTTTTTACGGTCACTATCCTCCCCACCAATGAATATGGTATTTTAGCCCAATTGTCTATGTTGGGTATATGGATACTCCAACTGGATTTGGGTGAATAAATATATGAACCTAGGATTAAGTGCTATATAGCTTTAAGCACAAGAAACTGCAATGTCATTGTGGGTGCGGTTGCAGGCAGCCATATAGTTAGGAGGGGAAACGTAATAGCCCCGGCTTCTGGATGCAACTGTCTGAGTCCTGCTTCTGCATGCACCTGGTTACTGTTCCAGGTCTGCTGCCTGCTGTGTTGGTCTATCTGCTTACTTTGGAGGCTACTGTGCCAGATACCAAGCTCAACTGAACACAAGGACTGTTTACTGGTGAGCTGTGGATTCAGCGTTAGTACTTGAGAGAAAGGTAACTTAAGAAGAAGATATACAAGCAGATAAAGACATTGTATTTACTGTTAAAGGACCTGATAACTGGATTGATAAACTGGATTCTGACATATGGACTGAATGACTATTCTTAATCTCTGTATGAATTAAATACCTATTTAAACCACAAACAGTGTATTTGTCTCGAGTGTGTGTATACTCTAGGGCCCAGCCTCACTCTCATTTGGCTGCCTGGCTTGACTGCTGCTGTACACTCTGCTAGGGGGTTTATCCCCAAACACTAACAGTCTAAATCTTTTTGAATTTGGAGTATCGATTTGTCATAATTATCTTCTTTAATTGAAGAACATTTTGCCATGAGCCAAATCCCAAGATATTTCACTTTTTTATCTGCATTCCTAATTCTCTTGAATAAAAAGTTGCCATTATTTGAGCCTAACCGCGATGTCTTATCACCCCTTGAGCACCCGAGGACACCACGGCCTCCTGACTCCATCTTCTCCTCTGTTCTCTCCACCTGCTTGTTAGTTTTGCATTTTAGCCAAGCCTCCGACCTTTCTCGCCCAGCTCCAAACAAAGAGGGAGCCCTTTCCCGGTGGGCTGCAGGCCAAATGACCACCAGGTCTGGAGCCAAGGCAAACGTCCCCTGTTTGGAGAACGTCAATGGGTAAGGTCAGCCTGCCAGTCGGGGCCCTCGTGGCATCGGGGCCCAGCCAAGAAAAACTGCATTATCTTGGTGGTTGAAGAACATCAGCCTGCCAGCCCAGGGCCCTTGTAGCATCGGGGTCCAGCCAAAAAAAAAAAACCCATTATCTTGGTGGTTGCATGCCTGGATGGAGATGATGTAAGCCTCTGTGAGGTTGGGGGGGGGGGGGAATGGGGACTCTATAAGATTAGGGGCCCCTGCAAATGCCAGTCACCTGCACCTAAGTCTCAGAATATTCTTCGGCTGAGTTGGAGAAAGGACTGATTGAGATGAAGTCCTTGCTGTTTGCGTTGGGCCTCGCCCTCTGTTGTGCCATCCAGGCTGAATGGGAAGAAGTCAGCACCTCCAGGAAACAGGTAAACCGAGGTGGTTGGAGCAGGGCTGGCTTGCCTTGGGGTGGATTGATCAGGGGACCCCAATACTGTAATCACAAGTGTGGAAGTTGACGTGAAACACAGCGATTCACCGATGCAGAGAACGGAAGGTGAATTGCAACGGGTCTCCACCTTCTCTCTGTAGGCCAAAGGACCAGCCAGGGGGGCTGTCCTAGCTCGAGGAGGACCCTCCAGACTGGGGAAGAAAGTGGTTGCATCGTTCATCTCTCCCTCAGCCTGTGACTGAGAACACTTTAGTTTGGGTCTGCGTGGGGGCCTGTAAACGCTCTTTCTGCAGTGAATCAAACCGAAGCGGTGTTCACGTTCTCTCCTTGGTTGGTGGGACAAGACAAAGAAAGCTGCATCTAAATTCTAGTCCATCCCCATTTCAGACAAATGGGGGCCCAGTCTCTTGTTAAAAACCGCCAGTGATGAGGCACCTACAACTTCTGGAGAGAAGCCGTGGTCACTGTCAGGAAATTCCTCCTTACTTCTAGGTTACTTCGCCCCTTGATTACTTTCCATCTGCTTCTGGTCCTTCCTTCGGGTGCTTCGTTGAGTAGGTTGCCCCCATTCTATTTTTTGAGAGCAGCAAGTGCATTTCACTTGGCAGGACCAGCTTGACCGGAACTGGAATTGCAAAGCTGCAGGAGTAGCTTAAATGGAGAGACTTAAACGGAGCAGGCTATTCCCTTCCAAAGACTTTAATGTGGTTCCTTTTCCCTCTTTCTGCTTCAGGATATGGGTCGCTGGGTGAGCTCTGTCATTGCGTGCGATTCACCAGAGCACCTGGGGCAAATAAGTGAAATGACGGCATTTGTCGCTGACCTGTCAAGCCCACAGGAAGACGTGTTTATCATTTCAGCCCTCATCCCCATGTAAGTTCCCTAGCACAAGCCAAGCCCCTCAGGACTCACTCTAGGGCATTCAACAAGGCCATCCTGAGAGCCCAGCAGTCCGGAAGGGTGGTTTTCTGAGGCAGATTTGAAGGAGGAGCACACAGGGCTTTTCCTATGAACTCGAGGCTAACTTGAAGTAAGGGAGAGCCCCATGGCGGTGCCGGAGAAAGCCCGACTAGCTTTGAAGGAGCAGTGAAGTGAAGGCATCTGTTGAGCTCCTTCAGCCACTGACGCGAATACTTTGATCCAGTTGTGACTCTGAAATGCCTCCAATTAGCAGGACACCAGGTGGGCGGATGCCCCCAAAGGCTAACATGTCAGAAAGAGAGGCTGGGGCTGTGCAGCTAGACTCACCTGGAGCAGATGGAAACGTTCACCAACATGGCTTCCTTAGCAACAAGCCTTGTTTAACCCAAAGGCTTGTTGCTAGGGAAAGAAGTCTCAGCCAGGGAGAGTGAAAGTGAGATGGCCGTTGCTTAGTCATACTTCCCATCTGTTGGACAACGTAGAAAACCTTCCTCACTAGGTACCAGTTCAGGTCAATGTTCAGCGGTGGGACTTTTGACTGTCTATAGCAGGAGTCACCAACCTTTTGGACCTCAGGGACCACCAAACTCATAATTTTAAATCCCACGGACCACTAATATGAATTTTGACAGGCGGTGGCTTGCTGATGTTTTCCCAGGGTCTCTGTAGAAAGCAGCAGACATCCTGGGAATATCCCCCCAAAAGTCTGCATGACAATCCCCCACCCCGTTTTCTGACCAATCAATCATTCTTTATTTGGGATCGCAGGATACTGTCTCCAGCTCTGTTCTCAGGGAGAGACAAAGAGAGACTTTTGGCTTTATGCAAGGAAAGCAGCAGAAGCAGCAGAAGTCTTTCTTTCTCTCCCCCAAACTCCGCCAGAAATGAGTCTTTGCTGGCACTGCCTCTTGGGGCAGGCGGCCTTGCAGGGTCCCAAAGACTCATTTCTGGAGGAGTTTGGGGGAGAGAAAGAAAGACTTCTGCTGCTTTCCTTGCGTGCAGCCAAAAGCAGAAGAAGAAAGATGCGGAAGGAAGAAGCCTGGTGGCCAAGCCAGGCGCGTAGGGCAAGTGGGGCAAGTCCTCCCCCCTCCGTCCTTTCGCCCCTCCCCTCTCTACCTTGTGTTGTTCTCAATGCAAGCGACGCAATCCTTGTGTTCCCGCAGGCCACGTGGGCGGCACAGCTTTGTGTTCCTGCACAGCCTGGACTCATTGCTTTGGGGGCGGGGGGGACATTTTTCTTTGGACCACCACATTTTTTTCATGGACCACCAGTGGTCCCTGGCCCACTGGTTGGTGGCCACTGTTCTATAGGGCAGGCACCCCCCACCCCTTTCACTCCAAATGGAAGATCTCTCTCCTCCTTTTCTTTTGCAGGCCGGAGGGGTGCAAGAACATAACACACCAGCTCAGAAAAGGAGAAGATGGAAAATATCACACTTCCGCTGGTCTGTACTGGTGAAAGGCTGCCGTGTGTAGCTCCTTGATTCAGTCCCCTATCAAAACTGGGCCCCAGGGAGGCCTTCTTGCTTTGCCCTCAGCTCCCGCAGGGAAGGAACCGGCGGGCAACCCCATAGCATCTCTTCCAAGTGGGGAACGGTGGGGGAACACAGAGTCTAAACGTGTTTTTCCGGCTCTCTTGGGACCATCTCTCTTCAGGCACGTTTGTTTTGGGGGGACGCACTTTGCATCAAGGCATCGGGGGCCCAGGGCCACTGCAGGGCCAGTCCATCCATCCCCTGTTTAGTTTAGTGTCACTGCACTTTGTACAACAAAATTAAATGAGGGATTGAGATTAAGATGGTCTCCAGAGGCCGTGGGTGCTCGTCGCTGGAGGTTTTCGAGATTGTACAGGCATTGGTCTAAAATGATGAAGGGTTGGACTAGAAGACCTCCATGGTCCCTTTCCAACTGTGTTATTCTGTCATTCTGAGAGGCTGACCTTCCAAGAACTGCAGCTGTTCCTTCTTAAATATCTTAAAGTATATTCTAAACCTTTTAAAGCCACGTATTATTTCAAAATATAAACCTTTCCTGCCTATCTATCTTTTCCGGGGAAGACACGGACTCCCCTGATTCCTGGAGGGTCCCAGTGCGAGAGAGACACTGAGTGGGGGGTGGGGTGGAGGGAGGAGGAAGAGGTGAAATAACAGCTCAGATTGTTGCCTGTACATGAAATGCAGAGATCCTATTCACCTCCATTCTTGGAGAAGACAAGGAGCCCGAAGGCTGGAAATAAAGGGGGTGTCTTCCCACCAGATCCCAGTTGCAAGTTGCTATTTCTGGGGTTCAGAGGAAAGGTCCAGGGGGGAAAGTTACACTGGGGGGCATTGTCCCTGCTTCCTAGGAGCCCCGCAGAAAATCCACCCTTCATTTCATCAACCGTCTAAAATTACTACAGTATAAAAGCTGAAGGATATATTACTGTTAGCCTCTATTTAAATTGCAAGTTCTGCAGTTTGGTTTTACATTAATTCAACATCCTTTTCTGATAGGTACGCATTGCTATTACCTGTAATATACCTGAAACAGCCTGGAAACATATCAGATAAACTGTTTTGCCAACTGTTTTGCCAACGTTTCCAAAAGGTCACCAGCTTGGCTAGATTTGGGTCTGCCTGAGCTTCCTGCACTCATGTACCCCACCTTTTCTGGCAGATCGTACAGATGTGACTGTGGAGTCAGTGAAAGTCTGGGGCGAGTTCGTCATGTCCACCATCAAGTTCAAAGATTTGAAAGCCACAACCCTTCACGGTAGGTGCCCCAAGGTCCATCATCCCTGCAAGGAGGGGTGGGGGGAGCATGGGCTTTGAATCCCCTTTGTCATCGTCTCAACCCTTCTTGTGCATTTCTCTAAAAGTTAAGACTCGGGGTTAAGAGTCTGCCCAGCATTTATTTCTCTGGCAAAATCCTGACACAGTGGGAAACTCCCAATTAAGCCTGCCACCGCCATTCCCCTTCTGAAAAAAATCTCCCCTTCCCCCTTTGAGTCTCCCCCTCTTCCCCATTCAGCAGACACCCCACCTCTCTCTCTCTGTCTCCACAGGTCGGACTGTAGCTCTGGATCCAGAGATGCTCGAGAAATTTAAAGAAGAATGCATCAAGCTCGGCTACAAAGACGATGAGATTGTGGTTTTAAAGCCAACCGGTAATGCAATTCAGAGGAGAAAAATAACAAATAGATGAGAGCAGGTTTGGTTAAAGCCTCCAGGCTAGAAAGTGGGAGGCCTGAGTTCTAGTCCTGCTTTAAGTATAGAAGTCATTGGGTTGACTTTGGGCCGGTCTCCATCTATCCCTCCTGGCAAACCTGGACGGACGGACAGGCAGGCAGACAGATAGATAGATAGATTTAAATAGAGTCCATCCATGGGAACGGACTTCTTGAAATCTCTTCTGAATATATTTTCTGTAAAAAATTGGGTGCAGTTGGGTGGTCTACATGCAAGGAGGGGAGGGGGAAGTCATATTGGTGGGCAGATGACCTAAGAATTGACCATTCCTTGCATCGCATCTTGTATTCTTTCATCCTGTTCGTCATTAATGGCCCCCTTTTCTCCCCCACAGTGAGGTGCGAATAAGAATAGGTGAGTTTTCTAAGATGGGTCACCCCACTTACAACGCTAAATCCTACCGATTTGCATGAAAAGGGGGGGAGGTAAAAAAAGGGGGGACTTCACTCACTGCCCCCCTTTCCCTTGCAGGTGACCAGAGCAGAGGCCTGGAAACGGCCAGGGGCAGCAGTTGGGGGTGTTTCGGGCTTGGCTCAAATTCCAGGGAGGAATCTTAATAAAGAAGATTCAGGAAATGCGACTCCTTTCTCCGGCGTGACTTTTATTTCCTGCCTTTTGGCCCTGTGGGGCGATCTTGGTTTGTGGCCTGAGCGTGGGAGAGGATCCCGTGCAGGGAATGAGGGGCAGACCTGAATTTAAAAAGGGGTTAGGTATGCAAAATATGGGAGGGTGGCAGTAGAATAGCTGGCCCACTGGGCCACCCCAGGCTGTTCCTGCGGGACTTTTACCCTCTCCGTGGGGGCAGGGCAGGACTGCTTCCTCTGGAAAATCACCTCAATTCTTTGACCCCCAAAGGGGATGCGGGGAAGGATGAGGTGCCAGGCACGGACAGGTTCAGATCTCTCTGGCCAAGGAGCTCTCCAGGGGCTCCGGAACAGACCCCAGCCCCAAAGCCCCCTCCCTCCGACAGCTAGTGGCTGTTTCTGCTTGTCCTGGGAAACTGCCCGCAGGCCCTGCCCTGATGGAGGGGACTAGGTGGGCAGTGGATGAGGGTGGCTGGTGAAAAGAGGGGTGAACTGGGAGCCTCTTCTGAGGGGTGGGATCCCGGTCCCCTGAAGGGGAAAAGTTCATGGGATCCAGCCCTTCTCGGGGTCACTCTGCCTGCTGACCCACTCCTCTACTCGGTGCCGAATACCTTAGGCCACCAGACCTGAAATTCTAGACCTAGAAAATCTAGAACGACGACGCCTTCGGTCCGATCAAAGTATGGCATATAAAATCATACATTGCAATGTCCTACCTGTCAATGAATACTTCAGCTTCAATCACAACAATACAAGAGCACACAATAGATACAAACTCAAGGTAAACCACACCAAACGATTGCAGGAGATACGACTTCAGCAACAGAGCGGTCAGTGTCTGGAATACTCTACCTGACTCTGGGGTTTCTTCCCCAAACCCCCAAAACTTTAACCTTAGACTGTCTACTATTGACCTCACCCCTTTCCTAAGAGGTCTGTAGGGGGCGTGCATAAGCGCACCAACGTGCCCACCGTCCCTATCCTATTGTTCCTTTCTATTTTTCTTACGTGTATCCATGTATTCCTAACTATGTCTTTACTTATACCTATTATCTTGTAAGCAATTGACAAACCAAATAAATAAAAACGAAGAGTACAGAATACTCTCCAACCTGCCCTCGCAAATGAGGAGGAAGGACGTGGAGTTCTCTGAGTCACAGAGCAATTTGGGGCAGCTGGAGGGCGGGAAAACGCCGCCGGAAAATGCCCTCCTGCAAACAAAACTGGGAACTTGGGGGTTCAAAAACCATGCCTGGCCCGGCCCAGGGAGCGTGCTTGGCTCAGTTGGGCAGCATCCCAAACAAGGATGAGGCAGAAAAGGGGAGGGGAACGGCAATGCATCCTCCCCCCAACCGAGGTCCGTCTTTCCTCCCAGTGTTGGGGCTCAGGAGAGAAGATTGTGAGGCCCTTCGTGCTCTCTGAGCTTCCTTGTTTCCTCGCAGACGTTTCGTTACCAAAGTAAGCAACATCATCTGTGCACTTCTTCGGGGGAATCACAAGACTCAGTGCAAAGGGGATCCTTGCAACCATGACCTCTTGTGTTAGTTAGTTAGTTTAGTTTAGTTTATTGTAATCACACCTCGTACAACGAAATCAAACACCATCTTCAGGGCACATCAGGACCATGAATATAAACACAAACACACATCCTTCACACCGCATTGAATGGAAAAACCCCGACACCACACCAACACTGCAACTACACAGCAGAATTCAACAGAGCTCCTGCCCTGGGCTAGAAGCTGTTTTTCAGCCTATTTGTGCTTGTTTTTATTATTCTCCTGTACCGTCTGCCAGATGGTAATAGTTCAAAAACGGTGTGCCCAGGATGAGATGGATCTTTGAGGATGTTTTAAATGTTCTTGAGGCAGCGGGAGTTATAAAGCTCTTCCAAAGAGGGGAGAGGGCAACCAAGGATCCTCTGGGCAATGACATGAGCGCCATCCTATCTGCCCCTGCGCAATTGGCAAACCCTACGGTGCCCTCTGGACCAAACCTTTGCATTGGAGCCTGTGACCGTCTCTGGTTCTGGGTGGTCTCACAAGGGAAATCTTCCGGGCGTGACTGTGACCCCCCCACCCAGGCTGCTTGGGAGGGAAGGCGAAGCTCCCAAGCGTTCTCTGCAGGGAACGTCCCATGCGGATGTGTTCTTAAAGGCAGCCACCTGGGGCCCATTCACGGCTATCAACAGTCCGTGCCGTCCTCCTTCGAAAGCTTCCTGGACAAGGGTGGATTCACATGGAGGAACCTCCAGAGGATAAAAGGGACAAGGGGCGAGGCTGAGCAGCCAGAGGGGCATAAGTGTTGCAGCCATGAAGCTTCTGCTGGGCAGCCTTCTCTTGGTTGGGGTCTCCTGGCTGGGAGCCGCATTGGTTATTCCCATCATGCAAAACTTCAGTCCCCGAAGGGTCAGAGCTGGGAATCCTGGAAGGAAATTCTTCTCCTTCCAACTCTAAGTGGACGATAAACCTGTGTGGGGGGACTCTGGGGTCCCTGGTGCTGCCTGGAGTGGCTGGCAGTCATTTCATGACCCAACTAGGGAATATCATCAGTATTTCAAGGGTTGGCTCTCATTACAAATGGTTTAGCCAGGTCTGGCAGGCAGGATTCGGGTCAGAGCCTTCAGCGCTAACGAATGCTCCCGTTTTCTCCTTTTCCTAGATTTCCAAGCTCTGGTATCCTCTTCTCCACCTTCCGACTGGACAGGTGGTTTCTACCCATTTCCATCCATTCAGATTGGAGGCCCAATCAAATGGAGGTCTGAAGTACAGAATTAGATTTCCTGTGTGAGTTTTGGGAGCTAACCCTAAGGACCAGCCTGGCTGCCTTGGCCGAGGGTTCCCTTCCCCCAAAGAGGGTGAGCGGTGGATCCCTCCGAGACCCTCCGACCCAAAAGGTTTATGCGGTTCCCTTTTCTTTCCAGGAATGGTCAGTGCAGGATTGAACAGGCGGCACTGAATGAACGGGGCCAGCCTGGCTACTACGCCAACAGAGGTGAGTGGGGAATTCCCTCCTGCCTCCATCTGGATTTTCTGACTGGGGAGTTTTCACGAGGGGCTGGCGAAGTAGGGACAGTTTCCTGCCTAACTGGCCATCCCAAGTTCCCCCCAGGGCAACCGCTCCACTGGTCACAGCCGGAGCCTGCATCCGCCTGCCCAAGGGAAGCACCCTTCCTCTCCCCGAGGCAGGGAAAGAAGGACCAGTGCTGAGGTCCCCCAGGGTGGACAGCGGCTTCTCCTGGGACAGGCGGTGGGAGGGGGCTTGCAGGGTTCCTGCCCCAAAGAGGACTAACCAGCCTCTCCCCGCTATCTGCAGAGATCCCCTTCACCGTTCAATTTGTTGAAGTCGATTATTGTAGCTACATGATTGCTTACCTTACGCGGGGGTCCAACAACGAAGAGACGTTCCTGGCACTTGCTGGTAAGAAGTGATCCTTGTCCTCGGTCTTCCCAACGTTGCTGGCAGGAAAGCAACCCCCCCACTCCTTTTGCTTCTTGCCCCAAAGAGCCACCTCCACCACCACCCTTGGGGTGTCAGCTGGGACCTCCTTGGCGATCCTCCCTCCCCCTCCTGCCCCCCCAGCATTTCTGCCCCAGGGGAAGCCCCTCCCTCCCGTGCATCTAGTTCCCCGCCTTCCCTCCATCCATCCTAGCAGTTCAACCAGGGAATTTGGGGGTGGGGGAGCCAGAGCAGCCTCCCTTCATCCCTGAGGTCTCCAACCAACCCCCCACCCATCTCCTCCCTGCATGCCTCATCTAGGCGTTCAACCCATCCTAACGCCGGATTTGGAGACGAGGTTCAGGCAAGTTGCCAACTCACTGGGGATAACTGGAGAGTTTGTGCGCCCCATCCTGAAAGGTAACCCTTTGGTCCTTCGCAATCACCCCTTCTGGGTCAGTGGAAGCTCTCCTGGGAAGACCTGGGCAGAAGTTTCTTTCATTTCATGTTTCCATGCTAAGCCCAGATTAAGGGCTCACTGGGACATCAGAGATGGATTCCTCCTTTCCCTCTTCCTCTTCTTCGCTCTCCTCCTCCTCCCGGGATGACCAATTCTTCCCTCTTCTCTCCTCCACAGAAACCTGCTAAGGCCTCAAACTCAAGACGGAAGAGTGAAGACTCCGGGCAGAGACGGGCCCTCACCAGCTAACCCCCCCCACAAGTTGGGAAAGGAGGAAGACCCCATCTCTGCCAATGGGGCCTCTGTGGGTGGCTGCCTTCCTGCCAGCCAGAGGGCAAACGCCAAGCCTTGTTTGTCAAATAAAGTGTAAATAAAACCAGCAAGCTAAACAGTTCTCTGTGCTTTTTGTCATTTCACTCCTGAAGGAGCTGTCCCCGATCCCCAGCTGTGCTGGCCATCTTGCTCTTCCTGGGTTGAGTGGTCCTCCCTCCCTCACAGGTGCTCAGCCTAACACTCCTGGGGGGCACTGTTGGCTCTCTGGGCACCAACCCACCACCCCTCTGGGTGTATCATAATTCACATTCTCCAATGAAACACATCCGTAGCCAAGAGTCATCAATCATGTTCTCCAATCAGATTTTTGCACGGCAGAAACTTCAGTCGCCTGGTTACAATCCCTGAAGAAAATATGAATGGAATGCACTCTCGATTCCAAACAGCTGCACTGCTCTTTCAGATTCCTTTCTGGGCCCCTTCTTTCCGTTGGCAATTATAAAACGGGCGTAGAAAATTTATGTGTTGACGCAGGACCTCTTCAGTCCTCTCTGCCTTTCTAGCAGTAAACCAAAGGGGCTCACAGGCATCTCTCTGCCCACCATTGATCTCAGAATAAATAAAATGTTCTCACAAAGAACATTCACTCCATCCCTGGAAGGGGCTAAATCCAGAAAGACTGATTGAGAAGTAGTGACGTTGCCCGATTGGTTCGTTTAAGGATTAATGAGTGAAATTAGTATAACTGGAACAGATGCACACAGAAACAAATGCACACATAAAAATATGGCGAATCTTGCAATCGGCGTCGCCCTGGTTCCCC